CCCGAAACCCTCAACCTGAAACCCCAAACCCTAAACCCTAAACCATAAACCCTAAACCTTAAACCCTAACCCCCAAGCCCTGAACCTGAAAGTGACTCGAGGCTGCGCGTCCTCCGCCAGCAAACCGGAAGGAAGCTCACTCCCTGAGACACCCTGCCTGACCCCAACAGCCTCAACCCTAAACCGGAACCCTTAAATCCTACTTCCCAAACCCTAAACCCGAGACCCTAAACCCTCTTAAACCCTACTCCACGACTATCCCCGCGCCACTCGCAGAGGCAACTTTTGGCACGTCCCAGCCGTGCTGGTTTAAACTCAATTCTGTGAGTGTTTCTAACCTGCGGAGTGGCCCTGAAAGCGCGTGTGGCTGAGTTTAGGGATTAGATCTAGGTCTAGGTTTATGTTTAGGGTTTAGGGTTTAGGGTTTAAGGTTTAGGGTTTGGGGTTTAGAGTGTAGGGTTGAGGGTTTCGGGGCTGCGGGTTTTGGGTTTAGGATTGTAGCTTGTGTGGGGTTTAGGGCGGCTGTGGAGGGGCTTGCCGACGGCCGGCTACACGACGGCGGAGCGTAGCAATCGGACCTGGGGTTTAGGGTTTTGGGGGTCTACGGCTTAGAGAGTTCAAGGTTTCGGGTTTAGGGTTTACAAGAATTTGTAGGGTTTGTGTGCGGTGTTTTGGGGGGTTTTGGCGGGTTTTGGGGGGGTTTTGTTTTTACAAATATCGTTTCCGGAGTTTGGAGATAGAATGAGGGGCTGGAGGGGGAGGGGCTGGAGGGGGGGGGCTGGAGGGGCTGGAGGAACTGGAGGGGGTGCAGGGGCTGGAGTGGCTGGAAAGGGGTTGGAGGGCGGGAAGGGTCGGAGGGGCCGGAGGGGGCGGGAGAGGGCTCCTGGAGGGGCTGGAGGGGTTGGAGGGGCTGGAAAGACTGGAAGGGTGTGCCGGAGGGGCCGGGGTTCGGGGGCATGTGTGGGGAGGGGGGGGGGGGGGATTGGCATTGTGAACGATGAAGGCTTATTGCACGAACTTATCGTAATGAAACACCTAACAATTTCTATTTATTCTGGCGTCGAGGGTTTAGGGTTTAGGGTTTAGGGTTTAAGGTTTAGGGTTTAGGGTTTGGGGTTTAGGCTTTAGGGTTGGTTTAGGATTAAGGTTTGGGTGGAGGGTTTGGGGGTTGGATTTTCGAGGTCTGAGGTCCATCTCTAGACTTCGGGGGCAAAGGATCGCATGTCGTCTCCACAGCTTGAGCCTACAAAACAAAAACGGAGAGGTCCCCTTTTCCGAACCCAGCTTAGGGTCTCGGGCTTCGGGTTCGGGGTTCAGGGTATCGGGGTAGGGTTTAGGTTTGAAGTCATCGCAAGAAAAACCCTGAACCGAATAACCCTAAAGTCTTAAACCCTAACCTAAAGACGACCCTAGAGCTTACCATCCCGTCAACATCGACAAAGAGAGCCACCCCCGCTGGCCAGAAGTCACGACTGTAACGAGCCCGCATGGCCGCCCAGCACCTAAGCTGCCACATGGCCAAGAAGCCGGGAATGCAAGCCCACGAAACCCTAAACCCGAAACCCTGAACCCTAAACCCTAAACCCTCAACCCCGAACCCTAAACCCTAAAGAGCCTCAAACTTAAACCCTAAACTAGACAAGGTAAACTATAAACCCTCCAAACACTAGAAAGCCGAACAAAACCTACGAACCCCATAAACCCTAGTAAACCCTCTAAACCCTATAAACCCTACAAGCCCTATAAGCCCTATAAACCCTAAACCCCAAACCCTAAGTAAGGGTCTCGGGCAAGCCCGAAAGAGCTTCGGCTTCGAGGTTTAGAGTTTGGGATTTAGGGTTTAGGTTTAGGGTTTCGGGTTTAGGGTTTAGGGTTTGAAGCTTAGACGTTCAGTGCAACCTCAGCAGGTCTTGGTGGCTCTGCAAGCACATTCTGATAAGGAGGACCCTAAATGAGGGTGTAGGGTCTAAGGTTGAAGGTTTAGCGTTTAGGGTTGAGGGTTTAGCCCCCAAACCCTAAATCTCGAACCCTAAACCCTGTGCCAGAACGAGGAACCGGGGAGAAGAGGCTACCTGGAAGCAGGGTTTTGAGCTTGTGGCTGAAGGCTTACACGGCGCTTAAAAGTTTACAGGGGCTCGTAAGGCTGTAAGCCCTCAACCCTAGACCGTAAACCATGTGGGGTTCATCGGCTTGACGCACGCCCGACCCTCGGCCCACGCGCTGTACATCGTCGGGTGGCAAGCTGCTTGTGAGCTTCCCCTCACGACGCGGACGCGGCAACATGCAGACTCGGTATCTGAAAAGGGTGGCTCCCTGCGCTCGTGCTGCTGTAGGGTCAAAGTATATATCAGGTTTAGGGCCGAGGGTTTAGGTTTTAGGGTTTAGGGCTCAGGGTTAAGGATTTCGGGTTCAGGTTTGGGACTTAAAGCTCAAGCCTTTGGAACTAATAGGGTTTAGGGTTTAGGGCTTAAAGCTTCGGTTTGGGATTTAGGGTTGAACA